ATGTCATGATACCATGGCTTCTCATTAACTTTTTTTTCGATACCTGAGCATGTTTTGGTATATTCTTCATGTCTAATTTAATGGGTTGGATCTCAGTATTTGTATCTATTTTGATCATTGTAACTAGAGTAGCTAATACATTGATAATTTAGTTTTCCTCTCTAGACAGATGTTCAAACTGAATTTTTTAAAATTATTTGACCAACTCAGAGATGTATTTATGGTACTAGATCAACTTAGAATCTTTCATTTCCCATTCACCTTGTAACTGATAGATAGCCAGGATGAATCTCCAAACCCATCTAGCACTTTGATCTTTTTTTTAATTACTACTTACAGACCTATAACACAGCCTCGTATTTAATCACATTGTTTATGCAATTAAAATTCTATCTAGCCATGATAGGATAATAGTATCCATTGGGAGATATTAAAATTGCTCCAATACTATAACCCAAAGCATTAGTAGCTCCATCAAAATACATTCTCCAAGATTTCTCAATAGGTTCATTTTCTTCAATGACTATCACATCTTCATCAAGAAAATTCATTTTCATTGGCTCATAATCTTCGGCTGCATGATTGGTGAGGAACTTAACTATTGCATTCTCTTTAATAGCTTTCTGAGTCACACAAACAATATTATATTCTGAAAGTATAACTTGCCACCGCGTTATTTTTTCTATCAATGAAGGCTTTTTGAAGATATACTTAATAGGATCCAACTTTGCTATGAGCCAAGTAGTATGATAACTTTTTCTTATTTTTATTTTATCACTTTATTTTTAACAAATTATTTAATTTTCATTTACTATTTTTTAGTAAAAAAAGAAAATTTTTTATTATATTGAAAACTTTTTAAAAATACTCCAATACACTGGTAATATTTTTTAAAAAAATTTTCACCTAGAGATTTCATAAGTATTACTACTCGGAGTATCTTTAAATCTTATCGTCGGATAAAAATTTTCTTCTCTTACATTTTTTATTATTTATTATTATTATTTTGCAAGGTTTATTTTAAAATTAACAAAATTATCAAAAATTTTAACTATATACTCATTATTTATTTTTATTTATTTATTAATTATTATTATAAAAACAACAAAAACTTATTCTAACAAATTTAAAATTTTATCATGCATAAATATTAATAATAAAACTCAAAGTAATAAAAATAATATATAAAAAAAATAATTCAAAAAAATTAAAAAATATCTGAAACGGATTGATTAATGATCCAGTCAACATCAGGCGATTCAACGGTTATGTTGGACTTGTGGTTCAATAACTGTTCAATCGAACTAGTCCGAGTTTAGGGCAAAGGTGATTCGCGGGTCAGTTGCACAAATCCCCAGTCTAGTCAGGGTTGGCACGTGAATCCTTAAGCCTAAAAACAACGTCGTTTTAGCCCTTCCTCAAATAGCATCATTTTGGCTTTAGGCAATTTATATATAAACTCAAATTTTTTTTAGTTCATTTCAACCATTCTTCACAAAAAAAAACCTCTAGAGATCTATTTCCCTTTTTCTCAAATAGACCTAGGAGTCGGTAGCTGTCTGTCGCGATGGCTGCCGTGTTCTTTGTTATCAACAATAGTCGAAGAAGCTCAAAACTCACCAACAAACTCCGTTCACTTCCCTCTTTTCAAATCTAGCCATCATTTTCACAAAAAAGAATCCTAAATAGCTTAGATTGACCTTCAAAGTTTCGACTAAATTTTTTTTTTTTTTTACTTTCTGGCTTGTGTTTTTTTTGTGTTTTTTTATTTTTCTTGATGGCACTGGGTTCCCCATCCTCAGGGGAATATTTGATTTTTCTTTGCTTGGTTTTTTGTTTTTTTTTTTTTTTTATGTTTTGACAATGGTTTTTCTATTGAAGTATCTTGGTTTATTTTTTTACAGGGTTTTTTTTCGACTTTTCCTCTTAGGTCCTCTTGAGTCCTCTTTTTTAGCCAGGCTTTATAAAGCTAGCTTAGGGAATGTGTGGTGGCTGATGGTGAACAAGTAGTTAGACAGGTAAGGTATGGTGCTATAAGGATGTCAGGGGTTATGGGTAGGGGGTGTTATAGGTACTTGGTCAGGGAGTGGGTGGTGCTAGGGCATGGTGTCTTAGGGCACAAGGTTTGCACAAGGCCTTACAAGGGTGGGAGGTGCCAGTGGTGCCGTTCATGACACCCAAGCACCCGCTCTTTACCCTTTTATTTTTTTTTATTTTTTGTATTTTATATTTTTTGTTTAATTAATAAATTAATATTATTGTCTAATTAATATTATAAAACTAAATAAATATCAAACTAAAATAAAAAATGAAACAAAAATAGTAAGCTTAGGCCCAGAAAAGAAATCAGGTTTCTACTTGTGAACTCAATAAAAACTTGAGAATTTAAACCAAAATATGGATAAATTTGATATCTATATATATAGATATGAAATATATAAAATATTTTATGTCATAAAGTATTCATATTATATAAAATATTAATAATTTAGATATTCATATTATATTTGATATAAAATTTATGTATCATAAATTTTATAAATATAAAATATATAAAATATATTTTTTATTTTTATTAAATTTTTATATAATTTATATTAAAAGTTTTAATTATATCATTTTTATATTTTCAATATCATTCTTTAATCAAATTTGCACGTATAAATCAATTTGACTCTATGATCCTCCTATTTCTTTTTTTTTTTTTGTATTTTTACTAAAATTTTTATTTTTTATATTTTAAAAATTATAAAACTCCAAATTATTTTAGCGCAATGATGGTTCGTGGGGTAAGACAAATAAGTTGGATGGGCAACATCACCGGGGGGGGGGGGGGGGTAAGGAGTTGGTAGTGGCTACTGCTGTCATCTCAGCTGTGAGATTGGGCTTTGGCGCTCTTAAATTGGTTCCCGCTTTGTTTTAATAATAGCCCACACTACCGAATCCGGAGTCAACGTCTAAATCTAGAGCGTGTCGCTAGCGTCCCTATCTCAAATTACGATAAATTCAAATTTGTTAGGTCACCTTCCATTTTTAATTTCTTAATAAAAGAAATTTAATTTTTTTATTCATGAGGAAGAGTTTGTTAATGTCAAACCGTTTCGTATTTCTATGCATTTATTAATATCTAATACCTAATGGTCACAGTCAACATAATACTATTATAAATGCTTTTCTTTTACCGTAGATTTAGAAAACAACCTTGCCTGCAAAATTTTATGAAATTTCTGTTTTATTACATTTTTTTTAACAAAATAATTTTGTATATTTTTCTTATAACAAAATAAAAATAAAAATAAAATAAAAACTTAATTTAATTAATTTATATAATTATTTTAAAATATATATCTAATAAATTTAAATTTTATTTTAATACCTACAATTCTTTTTATCTTCAAGTAATAAATTTTTTTAAAAAATAAAGTACAAATTTAAATTCTATCTTATCATTTTACAAAAGAATAATAAAATATATTTTTAATTCCTTGATTTAATGGTTAAAAAACTCTTAAGAGACCAAGACTTCGTCGTCCTTTTTCTCATGGGTTATACCCATCATATATAACCAATTATATATTTTATACTATGATTACCAAGAATATTCAAAAATAAAAATACATGGTAAAAGAAATAATATCACCCCCAAATTTTACCTCAAAATTTTTACTTTTTGCTTTTTGTTATTGTATTAGGTTTTTTATTATTATTTTTATAAACAATAAAAACATTTATCAAATAAAATCTTATAAATAAAAAGAATCATCACGACAACATTGGCAAATGGTCTAATACTTCATTATCTAATCTATAATAACACTGCGCGTGTCAAGACAGCGAGTAGCACTGGGGCATCATATGTTTTTGGTTCATTCGTATTGCCAGATATGTAATCATAAAGTTTTGTAAATTTCCTTTAGAACGTCATAACACCTTCACCTTATGTCACCTCATCACCGCCCCTCCAATAGTCCAATTAATTCTTCCTCACAGTTATTAATTCCATTTTTTTTCCTTTTAACAATAGTAAATTCTTAATTCAAGTTTCTTTTGATCATCCCAAAAACAGTACCAAATATTCTAAAAGCATTCATCAATGGCAGAAGAAAACACTTGAGAGAGAAATCCATGCATGGACTGCTACGTACAGTACATTACAGTATACTCCACAGCAGCTCCATCTTTTCTACGAGTCTGCAGTTTGGGATAAAAATAGAGGTTGAATTTGTTGGATATCAATTTTTAATAAAATGAAATCGTTACTTGTTTGGAAAATTATAAATTTTTGTTTAGGTTTTTAAAGCTTTCGTTTCGAATCGGTTTTCCCATTCCTTCTTTGTCTCCACATGGCTTTCCTAGTCCTGCGCTATAAAAAAGTGCTACTTATATTAATATGTGGGGAGTTTTTCTTCTCTCAAATGATTATCTAATGGAGTAGTAGTTTTTTTTTTGTTTTCTTTTTCTTGCATGTGATGCTGCTCTCTCGAGCAAGAACAGCTCATAAATCTATCATCATCATTATCATTGCCATCATGAACTCGTTTGCTAGCTCCGTAACTCTTGTCTGATTCTTGAAGAATGTGCCTGATTCTTCTTCTGTCTTCTCCTTTGCTTCTTTTTCAATGTTCCAGGGTTTAACTGCAGAGTTCTTATATTTGGTATTTCTGGATCTTTGCCGAGTTTCATTTGATCTGGGTTCTCTGAAAGTAAGTGTGTTTTACGATTTTGATTACTAAAGGAGCTTTTTTTTTTTTTTTTTGGTGTTTGAATGGTAACTCTGTGGCTGTCAAGAAAATAGTGGAGAAAAACTTTTTCAATGTTATTATGGTTTTGACCACTTGTAGTAAATTGCTTAAAGCTTGCATCTTGAAAAATATGGGAACCGCAACTGAATCAAGTAGCTGTGTTTGGGTGCTAAGTGGTGAACTGTATAGTAAGCTAAACGGGTTTTAATTTCATAACATGGGATTTGCTAAGTTTGAATTAAAGATCCCCTTCGTTGTTATGTTTTGAGATATTTCATAGTAACCAAACAGAGAAAGGTAGAAAAAGAAAAGTCAACAAATGACAGAACCTAATGGCCCTAAAGCGGCTGCTTTTGACAAATTTCGGCCTAAAATCAAGTCATTTAAGTCAATAGTTTTTATAGAAGTTTTTAACAAACTTTTCTATTGGTAACTATTGATAGCTCAGTAACAGTTTCTTTAATGATTGCGTTTCTGACTCTGATTTGCTTGGTCAAACAAATTCATGTGGATGTGGCCATAATTTGCAGAAAAGATTCCCTCATTTACTGTGATTTTGGTTGAATTGTTGGGATTTTGAGGCTGCTGCGAAAATGGGCAAGAAAATGAACCTCTTGTTCATTTTCTTGGTGGGGGCAATTTTCTCATCCATCTTTGCTGACCCAGTTGAGGATAAACAAACATTACTAGATTTCTTTGAAAATATTCATCATTCACCATCTCTCAACTGGAGCAAGGAAACCTCTGTATGCAACAGCTGGACAGGAGTGACATGCAATAGTGACCATTCAAGAGTTATAGCCCTGCGTTTGTCTGGAATGGGACTTCGTGGCACTATTCCATCTGACACTCTCAGTCGTTTATCAGCTCTTCAGATTTTAAGTCTTGATTCAAATGCAATTTCGAGCTCATTCCCTTCTGATTTTGGTGAACTCAAGAACTTGACCATCCTTGATCTTCACTTTAACACTTTTTTTGGCCCGTTGCCTGATTTCTCGGTTTGGAACAATCTTACCATCGTTAATCTTTCAAACAATAGCTTCAATGGAAGCATTCCTCTTTCGGTATCAAAATTAACTCACCTCACAGCTTTGAATCTGTCAAATAACTCACTTTCAGGTGATATTCCTGATCTCAATATCCCTAGTTTGCAACAGCTTGATTTATCCCATAATAATCTCACAGGAATTGTTCCTAAGTCCCTTGAACGATTTCCAGGTTGGGCTTTTTTTGGTAATAATCTTTCATCAGAAAATGCCCTTCCTCCTGCTCGTCCAGGCCAGTCTCCCAATGCTCAACCATCAAAGAAAGCCAAAAAACTTAGTCAATCTGCACTCTTGGGGATTGTAATTGGTGGCTGCGTTGTGCTGTTCGTGCTAATTGCCCTTTTGGTGATCTGCTGTCAGTCTAAGAGACAAAAGGAACCAGGAATTCCAGCAAAGTCCCAAAGAAAAGAGGTCTCTTCGAAGAAAAAGGCTTCTGAGAATCATGATAAGAATAACGGGCTTGTCTTCTTCGAGGGTTGTAATCTTGCATTTGACTTGGAGGACTTGTTGAGAGCATCTGCCGAGGTGCTTGGGAAGGGTACATTTGGAGTAACGTACAAAGCAGCCTTGGAGGATGCAACCACAGTGGCAGTGAAGAGGTTGAAGGAGGTAACCTCAGCAAAACGAGAGTTTGAGCAACAGATGGAGGTGATTGGGGTTATCAGGCATGAGAATGTCTCTGCGCTTAGGGCATATTATTATTCAAAGGATGAGAAGCTTGTGGTTCATGATTACTATGACCTGGGAAGCGTGTCTGCTCTGCTACATGGTAAGTTTATATGCATAATTTCAATCTTTAGCTCAGTTCTTACTTGATTCTCTCAAAATATCAATGTTGCTGGCTGTTAATTTCTAAATATTAGCCATTCCCTCTATTACTTCCTGTAAGATCTGCATTCTGCACTGCCTCAGTTTTTTCATCCATGTTTTAGAAAATTAACGAATTCTAAGGGTTTTTCCATTTTCTTGTTGCTAATGGAGCATACGTTCGCTACAGAATGATGAGTCATTTGCTGATTGTAAGCCATAAAAGAAGTACATAAATGATAGAACAAAATTTCAGAAATTTTCAGGGTCATGTAATGTATCTCTTATCTACATCGGATACAAAGTGACGAGTCATGATTCAATAAGAGAACACTTTAGGCCTGTGTTAAATCAAGAGTTAGATCCATTTTGTTTCTTGATCCTCAATTTATATTTCAGTTTATGATTTCCTCGAAGTCCCATCATTACAGTTTGCGAAGATGTAAACGTTGTATCTTGATGCATCTCTGATATTTCAGGTAAAAGAGGTGAAGGCTGGAGACCTCCGGACTGGGAAACTAGGCTTAAAATTGCAATTGGTGCTGCAAGAGGCATTGCTCATATCCACTCACAAAACAGTGGCAAAATCGTTCATGGAAACATAAAAGCATCCAACATTTTCCTTAACTCTGAAGGATATGGGTGTATCTCAGATATTGGTTTGGCCGCAGTGATGAGCCCAATGCCTCCACATGTAATGCAGGCAGCAGGTTATCGTGCACCAGAAATTGCAGACACTAGGAAAGCAACTCAAGCATCTGATGTATACAGTTTTGGGGTCTTGTTACTTGAGCTCTTGACTGGAAAATCACCAATACATGCCATTGGTGGCGAGGAGATCGTTTACTTGGTGAGATGGGTGCATTCTGTAGTTAGAGAAGAGTGGACTGCAGAAGTGTTTGCTGTAGAACTTTTACGCTATCCCAATATAGAGGAGGAAATGGTGGAGATGCTACAAATTGGGATGAGTTGTGTGGTGAGAATGCCAGAGCAGAGACCAAAAATGTCTGAACTAGTGAAACTGGTGGAGGAAATTTGGCGAGCACATCCTGGAAACCAACCATCCTCTGAAACCTCAGCTTCAATCCCAATCCCACATGCGGCCGAAGCAGCGTCCTCCTCATCTGTTCCAGAGTGAGATTCTTGTCTTATGAATTACTAATAGTTTTTAAAAATTTTATAATTTCTTATGGAACAGGCAAAGGGGTGGTTTTTGATTATTTAAGTTGTTTATGTACCATATACCTCTGTGATAAAATTTCGTGTCATAATTAATTTAGCTACCCTGATCTAGCAATGTTCAAAGTCAACATGGGTCCTTGGCTATCGTATCATTTAAATAGTCAGGACTCGTGAATTAACTGTTAAAGCATGTGGGCTTTAATTTTTTTGCTCAATGAAGTTTATTGATTCCCTTATCAATGGTTTGGGCCAGGGTGCCCCGTACTTGTGCATGTCCATCAAAGATGGATAAGGTATACTATTCTGGTGATTTTTGATTTTGGATATTGGCACTCATCTCGCTTTCGTGGAGTTATTCATTTTAATCTTTAAATTTTATAATTTTATCTTACAAAATATATTACATATACATATATTATAACAAATTCTCGTAAATTTTCATGAAATTGGAGTCATTACATTTATATTCCAAAATCCTCCATAATCAATGGTTTCAGCTCATTATCCCGTTAGATTCAACTGAAAGTAGTCCTAAGCTGAGCAGCAACGGAGGGAAATGAACAGGAACCTTTTCGGTCAACAATCTCCATCAGTCAGCAGGAAGCAGCAATTTGAAGGTGGTGGTGGTTTTGTACAATTGATGGCTTCCAAATCCTGCGCACATCCGACTTTCGTGCTGACCCTTCTTAAGAAAAGTTTATATGTTTTTTCTCACATAATAATCAATAAATAGGCATGAAAAAAGGACAATAATTTTTGCCCATCGCTTCAAATATTTAGTCCAACCAATGGACGAGGAAAGATGACCAAAAAAGTTATAAAATGGATTCCATTCTTTCAGAAGTCCACGTCTGCCCAGCACCATTTGCTTAGCTTATTAGGGAGAGTTTTGCAATGAGCTTTAGACTCTTGGCGCCCTGTTTTGCCGACCTTCAAAAACTTGGACGCATTCGACTTAGCCCAATTCTCAATATCTAGCTAATAATTGGAAGTAAACCTTCCTCTTTCTGAAACAATAATAATAATTTAAATTTTATACTTTATAACTCTAAGGTAGATTGTGTAAAAGGTAAAAAAAAAATTATGTTAAGTCGTAATTTTAAATTTTTTATGCTATTCATTTTGTTAAAAAAAAAACGTTTCATTTATTTTTTTAACTCTTGTATAAAAAAACAACCTTATAAAAATAACTTTTTTGTTTTTGAAAGGAAGCTAAAAAAAAATTATACATAATATTTAAATGTTGATCAAATTTGTTAACTTACTTTAATAGTAATACTTTTTTTTCATTTTCTTTGTCCGTATTTTATTTTTGGAATGTTTCAAAATGAAATAATTTTTTATTTTTGAACACTATTGACTATTCTTATTTTTTTATATTTTAAATTGATCTTAGGTCAAGGCAAAAAAAAAAAAAGATCATCTTAGGTTGTAATTTTAAATTTTCTTGGGCCATTCATTTTTGTTAAAACCAACCTTTTCGGCTACTTTCTTAATTTTTATATAAAAAATAGCCTTATAAAAATAATCTTCCTATATTTGAAAGGAAGCTAAAAAAATGATAAAGAGTATTCAAATGTTGATCAAATTTGTTTACTTACTTTAATAGTAATACTTTTTTTTTCATTTTTTTGTCCATATTTTATTTTTGAAATGTTTGAAAATTAAATAATTTTCTTTTTTTGAACACTATTGACGATACTCTTTTTTTTTAATATATTTCAAATTGATCTAAGGTTGACTATATAAAAGGCAAAAAAAAAAAAAAATCATGTTAGGCTGTAATTTTAAATTTTTTTGCGCCACTCATTTTTGTTAAAAATAACATTTTCGTATATTTTCTTAACTTTTGTATAAAAAACGACCTTATTAAAATAATCTTTTTGCTTTTGAAATAAAGCTAAAAAAAATCATACTTAGAATTTAAATGTTGATCAAATTTGTTAACTTACTTTAATGGTAATACTTTTTTTTTCATTTTCTTTGTACCGTTATTTTATTTTTGGAATATTTCAAAATGAAATAATTTTCTATTTTTGAACACTATTAACTATTCTCTTATTTTTTTTTTATATTTCAAATTGATCTAGAGTTGACTATATAAAAGGCAAAAAAAAAAAATCATATTAGATTGTAATTTTGAATTTTTTTACGTCACTCATTTTTGTTAAAAACATTTTCATCTACTTTTTTAACTCTTGTATAAAAAACAATCTTATAAAAATAATCTTCCTATTTTTGAAAGGAAGCTAAAAAAAAATTATACATAGTATTTAAATGTTAATCAAATTTGTTAACTTACTTTAATAGTAATACTTTTTTTTTCATTTTCTTTGTCCATATTTTATTTTTTACCACTATTAACTATACTCTTTATATATATATATATATATATATATATTTCAAATTGATTTAAGGTCGACTGTATAAAACGCAAAAAATAAAATATTATGTTAGATTGTAATTTTGAATTTTTTTGTACCACTCATTTTTATTAAAAACAAAATTTTCATTTGCTTTCTTAACTCTCGAACAAAAAAATAACCTTATAAAAATAATCTTCTTGTTTTTGAAAGGAAGCTAAAAAAAATGATACATAGTATTTAAATGTTGATCAAATTTGTTAACTTACTGTAATAATATTACTTTTTTTTTTCATTTTGTTTGTCCATATTTTATTCTTGGAAAGTTTCAAAATGAAATAATTTTCTATTTTTTGAAAACTATTGATTACTACTTTTTTTTCATTTTCTTTGTGCGTATTTTATTTTGAAATGTTCCAAAATGAAATAATTTTATATTTTGGAACAATATTGACTATACCCTTTTTTTTATTATTTCAAATTGATCGAAGGTCGACTATATAAAAGGCAAAAAAAAAAAAAAAATCATGTTAAGTTATAATTTTGAATTTTCTTATATCACTTATTTTTGTTAAAAACAATCTTTTCATCTACTTTTCTTAGCTCTTGTATAAAAAAATAATTTTATAAAAATAATCTTCCTATTTTTCAAAATGAAGCTAAAAAAATTGATACATAGTATTTAAATATTGATCAAATTTGTTAACTTACTTTAATAGTAATACTTTCTTTTTTCATTTTCTTTGTGTGTATTTTATTTTTGGAATGTTTCAAAATGAAATAATATTCTATTTTTGAACACTATTAACTATATTCTTATTTTTTTATATTTTAAATTGATCTAAGGTCGATTGTATAAAAGGCAAAAAAAAAAATCATTTTAGATTATAATTTTGAAATTTTTTACACCATTCATTTTTATTAAAAATAACATTTTTATCTACTTTCTTAACTCTTGTATAAAAAACAACCTTATAAATATAATCCTCCTATTTTTGAAAGGAAGCTAAAAAAAATGACACATAGTATTTAAATGTTGATCAAATTTGTTAACTTACTTTAATAGTAATACTTTTTTTTTCATTTTCTTAGTCCATATTTTATTTTTGGAATTTTTCAAAATGAAATAATTTTATATTTTTGAACATTATTGGCTATACTCTTATATATATATATATATATATATATATATATATATTTCAAATTGATCTAAGGTCCATTGCATAAAAAGTGTAAAAAAAAATGTCGGGTTGTAATTTTAAATTTTTTTGAGCTACTCATTTTTGTTAAAAATAACTTTTACATCTACTTTCTTAACTCTTATCTATATATATATATATATATATATATATATATATATATATAAACAACCTTATAAATAATCTTCTTGTTTTTGAAATGAAGCAAAAAAAAATGATACATAGTATTTGAATAATGATCAAATTTGTTAACTTACTTTAATAGTACTACTTTTTTTTATTTTCTTTGTTCGTTTTTTATTTTTGGAATGTTTCAAAATGAAATAAATTTATATTTTTGAATACTATTGACTATACTCCTTTTATATATATATATATATATATATATATATATATATTTCAAATTGATCTAAAGTTTACTGTATAAAAGGCAAAAAAAAAAAAAAATGATGTTAGGTTATAATTTTAAATTTTCTTACGCTACTCATTTTTGTTAAAAACAACATTTGCATATACTTTCTTAAATCTTGTATAAAAAACAACCTTAAAAAAAAAATCTTTTTGTTTTTGGAAAGAAACTAAAAAAAATGATACACGCTATTTAAATGTTGATCAAATTTGTTAACTTACTTTAATAGTAATACTTTTTTTTTCATTTTCTTTGTCCGTTTTTTATTTTTGAAATGTTTCAAAATGAAATAATTTTCTATTTTTGAACACTATTGACTGTACTCCTTTTTTTCTTTTTTATATTTCAAATTAATCTAAGGTCAGCTGTATAAAAAGTAAAAAAAAAAAATCATGTTAAGTTGTAATTTTAAATTTTTTTTGCGCCGCTCATTTTTGTTAAAAATAATTTTTTCATCTACTTTTTTAACTCTTGTATTAAAAATAATCTTCCTATTTTTGAGATGAAGCTAAAAAAAGTGATATATAGTATTTAAATGTTGATCAAATTTATTAATTACTTTAATAGTAATACCTTTTTTTTCATTTTCTTTGTCCGTATTTATTTTTGGAATGCTTCAAAATGAAATAATTTTCTATTTTTAAACACTATTGATTATACTCTTATTTTTTTTTATATATTTCAAATTGATTTTTCAAAAAGTTTTAAACTTTTTAACAAAAAATGATACATCACTATTATAAAAAATTTGAAGTTAAAATACTAAATACACAAAAATAAAAAATTTCTCTTAAAATGTGTGAAAATAAAAATAAAAAAGACAAAAAATGAAAAGAAGAGAATCTATATATAGTACTATTAAAGTAGCTTCACAATTTAATTTTGAAACGTAAGTGCCGAAAGAAGCCTAAAAATGTTATGTGTGTATAAATTAAAATCAAATTTTCAAAAATTAAAATTTACTACTAAGCTTTATGAATATTAATAATAGAACATTCTTAAGTAATGGTTTATATACCATAGCGTCTCAAGAATAGAGTTGTGGAAATGAATGGCATTTTCAACCATAGATATATTGGCCAAGTTAAAAAAAAAAGTTAACGATTTTGTTGGTTTTTAATCAAACAAATAAATATAATTTTTCTAGTTTGTTACCTGTGGAATGTATGAATTATCTTACTTTATTAATTTACTTTTAATTATTTTTCAATCAATTATTTTCAATTGTAATTGAAACCATATATATATATGTG